TGAATAGATAGAAAAAAATTTGAACAGAGAAGGAAAAATTAGCATAGATAGGAAAAAAATTTGAATAGATAGTCAACAGATAAAAAAAGTCAATAGGATAAAATTGGAAACAAAATGTCATTTAAAATTAATAAAAATGGAGCCTCTATTTACACAACACATGTCATCTTGAGGCACACTATTAATTAGTTTTGGGTGATTCTACTTACACCACTCTTTTTCCTCTTTACGCTTTACATCTCATTACACCACTAAAAAAAATATTAGATTCTCATTACACCCAATATATTACCAAAACAAATCCTAAGGTAAAAAAATCTTCAAAACCCATCTCTTTACATCCATACTTTTCCAGTGTTCAGCTGCCAGAAATAATAGATCCCTCCAACATTTTATTGCTATACATTTACAGAGCCAGTTTCTCTTAGACAATGTTTGTTTAATTTGTGTTGGGCTTGTTCGGTAATATAATACTAATCAATTTGAATTATTCTAGTGCCATATTATCGGATACAATTTTTTTTCCTAACATTATGTTACCGTTCAATTGGATAATTTTAGTTTGCTTCACAACAAAGCCAGTGGAGCCCACATTGAAGTGCTTGTTCGGTCACACAATGCGAAACAATTTACAAAACTTCGGTGTTATATTGCCGGAATGAATTGGTTTGTCTAACCTTTTGTTCCTATATATTTACAGAGCCACTTCCTTCTAAATAATATGGTAATAATTTGTGTCGGGCCTGTTTGGTAATAAAATACTAATGAATTTCAATTACTCCAGTGTCGTGTTACCAGACAAACTATATTTTTCCCAACATTATGTTGTCGTACAATTAGATAATTTCAATTTGCTTCACAACAAAGTCAGTGAAGCCCACTGTGAAGTGTTTGTTCGGTCACACGGTACTAGACAAATTATATTTTTCCGGTGTTATGTTGCTGGAAAAAATGGATTTGTCTAGCGTTTTGTTGCTATACATTTATAGAGCCACTTTGCTCCAAACGATACTTTGGGCTTGTTCGGTAATACAATGTTAAAGAATTTGAATTAATCTAGTTCGATAAAAAATATCCATAAATCAAACACGCATCTATAAAATCATACATAAAAAGTATCCATAAAATTTTTCATAAAAAAATCAAGTGTACGAATATCCATAAAAGCATCCATAAAATCTGTCATTATTTGTATCCATCAATCAAACATGTTATTACAATTCGTCTATATCAATTATTTAAGTAGTTACTACGTCCGGGCTAATAAGAGTACATAATTGATGCATACGGATAGTATATGCTTTCTTCCATCCACTAGCACCCGGTGATGAAAATGAATCCAATTATTTGCTATCAGAGGTACTAGATGACTAGGTTGCAGATAAACCTATAACAAGGAAATTAATAAGTAGAATTACAAAATAAGACATGGTAATGATCTAAGTAGGTTCGGTAGTTACCTGCACAAAATGGTTTCCATTTACAAATCCTATGTAGATATCTCTTCGATCAGGTGTTGCAATCGGTACTAATCTAAGTGGTAGAAACGTCAAGCATTGTTACATGGATAAATGATAAAGAACGACTTGATAGTATGATGCTATCAAATGGCCCATGTCGGGCATAGTCATCTAACGATTAAATCCAGGGCCAGGTTCGAAGTAGGATAAGATAGAGTTAAGGTCATAAACCCTTTCTTGTGAACCAAATAGTTGTACATAGTGCACAACATTCGAATACAACTTAGTCAACAAGTTGCGCGTAACTTGTTGCCAATCATTTTCACCTAAACCAATTAATCCAACTATTGTCCTGAAACCATAATTGACATCTACTTATACATCTTTTATGTGACGGATATATGGTCTTAACTTCTCCGGAAATTGTTCGAAGTAAGAGATACGATTTGTTGACTGCGTCATACAAACCCACTTCACAAATATACAACAATGGATATATGAAATAATTAAAATGAGGCTGAACAACTAGTAAAATAAATTTTGTACATAGTTACAAGTTTTATGTAATTCCATACATTATCATTTTTTGTTTTTTTCCATTGCAGTTGCTTACGAACTGGTGCAGTTAAGATAGTAACACCCTGTGAATAACTATATTTCCCAGATAGTGCAAACTCAAACGCGGATAACTCACGTTTAGTCGATGTATCGATTTGGAATATCACGGCCACGACCTCGGCCTCTACCTCGCATGTCAGTCTTGAGTTCAGGTTCCATAAAAAATGTATTGTTTAGACTAATTAACTCCCTCAACTTCTTCAGAAGGATCACTTGTTGCATCTCGTCAATCGTTTGGAATTTCTCAATAAAAAAACCAGTATCTGTTTTGCAATCCAACTCCACAAAAACACTTTCTGAAACTGGAAACATATCTAACTTCCTCTAATGAGGATTTATGCATGAGAGGGAAATTGGTCGACCTTGTTGAAAATACTCAGCTATTTCATGTGCACATGGCGACCCATGTGTATGTCGCAAAATGCAGCCACATGCAGCAACATCTATTCCTACACTATTCGATCTCTTTGACTCTACCAATATTTTGTCCAAACTACAAATTGAAATAAAACCACGTAATTCAATGAACTCAGTGGGTGTGTAGTTCTGTTGGACTACAATCAAACTCTACTGAAATGAGGCTTTAATGTCTGCATGTTATAACTTTAACAAATTATGTATTTTGGTCTAAGATGCCTCAAAACTGCCTTGACTTGATCCAAGTTGCCTCTTCAATTTAGCATGAGAACTCTCCACCCTATAAGTATGTATATTTAGGTATTTAATATAAAAATCAAAAAATTATAGCAATTCATAAACGTAATGACCATAATTTACCTGTTTGTAGTAGTATTTTCGAAATGCATACTATTGTCTGTCCAAGCTACAAGAAATTTTTCCTTGTATGGTTCTAACCAATTGGTAGTAACATACTTAATAGCTTGAGGACACGTACTAAATTTGGTCTTCAGATTGGAAAATTGTTCATTGAATTTTGTTTCTGTTCTAACCAATACCAAAGCACTCCAACTATGCATGAACTTATCCCATTTATCTTTCATCTCAAAAACCTCCTTGCACTTCATCAGAACATTCTTGCTAATATGCCATCTACATAAAAGATTAGTGGCCATAAGTAGAACTTTTTATATGCCTTTCATCAAAACCAACTCTCTATCTGTAATAATGACTTTTGGAAAAGGTGTATTATCCATAAAAGTACACAATATGCCTAAAGCCCATGTATAGTTGTCCTCCCGTTCATGACTAAGATAAGCAAAAAGAACTGAAAATGTCAAGCCCGTTGATGTTACCCCAACAATCTCTAAGAGAGGGAGTCGATACCTATTAGTCTTAAATATGCAATCCATAATTAACACATGTGAAAATGCACGTAACAACTCCAAACTAACCGGGTGTGCCCAGAGCAAGTCAACCACCATCTCTCTATCATCACATCAATGCCACTCAACATACTTTTGAATCGACAATTGCCCCAATAGTTGTTGCATCTATGATCTTCCTACCCTATGTACTACTCGATGTCGATGACATGAATTGTAGATTGTCTTCATTGTTGTCGCATTAAATGCATCCATTTGTTTCAATGTAACCAATATCTCTTTTGGTCACACCATACTTTTTGACATGTCAACTAATACGGATGTTTCCTCCTTAGATAATCTGCCAACAAATGAGTGCCCTTCAAGATGTTCAACAGACGGATGATTGTGCACTCCGCATAAGACATGCAACATCCACTCATCATTTATAGTTAATTTTTCCCCCCTTAATAGAATGGGCATCCACACTTTTTAGAATCTGTCAACCTCAATCGTTCCTCCTTGATCTTTCTGTTATCTTTATAGTAACCGCTTCTTTCACAAACAAGGGTAAGTCTTGGTTTTCTGCCATTACCTCTCACATTTGATGTCTTTACAACAATGGCAAATCCAGTCTTCCTCCCAATGTCAGAAGCCTATTTAATTAATACTTGATGACTACTAAAAATGTAAACATAATAAATACATTTATACGTCAAATTATTAATAAAACTCAATACAAATTAAAAATAAGAAAAAATCATATTCATAAAAAAACTTAACAAATCTCATCTGTAATGAATTCGTGACTGAAGTCCACTAATAATGCAGCACATGCGTTGTTGCAATGAGTATAAGTATAATCCTTCAAAGGAAAAAAAAAAATGAAACTGAACATACATGGCAATGAGTAGCCGAATAAATTTAAAAAGTCTGGTTTTATATTACCAAAAATGTATATTTTATTCGGCAGTTGGATACCAGACTTATATTTTTTGTTCGGCAGTTTGATACCGAACTATGTTATTTTGTTTGATTTTGAAATACCAAACAAAAGTTGAAGACCAGCTTAGAAAATCGAAACAAAAACCGATCAAACAAATAAAAAAAACTCACAATTTCACTTTTTTTATGGTTCTTCACCACCGTTTCTTCATCTATTACTTTATTTGATGATTAAAACACTATGATTCTCACTTTTTCAAAAGAGATGTGTAAGAGAAAAGAAAAGTTGAGAAAGGAAAAAGAGTAGGGATTGAAGACCAAGGGGTGTAAGGACATAATCAAATATATTTAATTTTAGTATTTTGTCCTTAAAAGTAATTTCACACATGGATAAAATTGGAAGAAGAAAAAAAAAGACTCATAGGGTGTAAAGAGGTAAAGTAGTGGTGTAAGTAGAATCACCCATTAGTTTTTTTTTTTTTTATTATAATTTTAACCTTAGATAAAATGACCACAAAGGACAAATGGTTATGATATACACCATTTGTATAATTACCATAAAAGACAATAATGAATACAATACACGTCAAGAATTTCAAACGTTACTTACGTATCTTGTCTGTTAAGAATCCAAACACCCTAAAACAAAAACCCAAAACCCTTAAAAGAAACAACCAAAAAATATACATATTATTGAAGATTTTGATTGGATGGAATGATAGATACATCTAGCAATACTGGTTTGGAACAATGGATCAAGGAAAAGGTTATTTTTTCATTTTTTTTTTCTCGTTTTTGTGTACTTGCTGTGTGGTAAACCGTTTGTATTAGTTTGGTTATCCAAAGTCAAATAGTATGTTCATGTCGACTATACACAACCATACAAATTATATTTGTTTGATTGACTAGTGTCAAACAGATTCCAAAGTTTTTTTTTTAAGTGTCGAACAAACAATATCTGTTCGGCTATCAATAGTCGAACATATTTGCTTTGTTCGACTCTGTACTGTCAAACACGTATAACCTTTTTTTTTTTTTCTTTTTCTAGAACTGTGCATCCACGGAATGCAGTAATGTTGGATTCGAGTGTCTTGTTAACTACACAAGTCAATTTATTACTAATGAGGTAGTCTTATGTCGAAAATTAGTATTTTTTTTCTCCGCATGTTTAATGACTTTGGTTGATTTGACATGTAGGTTTTTTAGAGCAAAGAAGAATTGCTCAGTTGGGTACAGGATGTTGGAAGGAAAAATGGTTTTGTGTTTGTCATCAAGACATCAGACTATGGTAGTGGTCATAGGACACCAAGGATATGTCTTGCCTGTGAGAGAAGTGGTCAATACAGAGCTCATAAGAAATTAAGAGATGATTCAAACAAAAAAATTGTGAAGATAACGGGTATAAAGAAATGTGGGTGTCCTTTTGAGTTGTGGGCTCGTAAGTTGATGGCTGATGATGATTGGATGGTAAAATGTAGCATGTGGAATGCATAACCATGCTCCTGCTAAACATTTTGAAGGATATTCATTTACAGGGAGATTATCTGAGGAGGAAACATCATTATTAGTGGATATGTCCAAAAGCATGGTCAGACCAACAGAGATTTTGGTTGCGTTGAAACAAAAAGATGCTTTGAATGTAACCACTATGAAAACCATTTACAATGTACGTCATAGGAATAATGTTATTGAGAAAGCTGGGAGATCACAGATGTAACAGTTGTTGGGTGAATTAGAAAAACATAATTACATTGAGCGGCATAAGTGTGACAACAACACGATGACTGTCACAGACTTATTTTGGGCACATCCTGTCAGTTTAGATTTGTTCTGTTCATTTCCAAAAGTGTTGATCATGGACTGCACATATAAGACAAATCGATATCATCTTCCTCTTCTTGAGATAGTTAGTGTGACATCCACTAATATGTCATTCTCCATAGCCTTTGCATATCTCCAATTTGAGCGGATTGATAACTACGTTTGGGTGTTAACTACATTGTGTAGTCTCTTAGATGACATTGTTATTCCTGAGGTGATTGTCACGGACAGGGGGGTTGCTTTGATGAATGCAATTGACAGGGTATTTTCGACATTCAAACATTTATTATGCCGATGACATATTAGTAGAAATGTACTAACGAAATGCAAGAAAATGTTTGAGAGTAAGGAGAAATGGGACAAGTTTATCTCTTCATGGAATTTCTTAGTACTCTCCTTAACTGAGCTTCAATATAATGAACGCCTTGCTATGCTATGGATTTTGATACATATCTTGAGGTAGTGCAATAAGTGTCACAAAGTTGGTTAATTCTATATAAAAATAAGTTTGTTACCGTATGGATAGATAGTTGTATGCACTTCGGAAATGTTACAACCAACAGGTAAAATATATTTGTCTACCTTACTCTATTAGTCATTATGATTTTGATTATTTAAACTTAATTATGTTAATTGTTTCTGTAGACACCCCATTTTTGACCGTCCTCAAGACTTGGACGTCACCGTTTGAACACTCAGTGATCATCCATGTTTGTGTTCGTTTGGAGTTCCCGGAAGCCTCGGCTCGCACGCCCTGCCTCAGGATCTCCGAACTTGACCGTTTAGTGTCTGGTCTTGCACCGAACACTTGTGTTTTGCCTTGGAAGGGCAGGGAATGCCTTGTGAGACATCCCCACACCCCACCGGCAATGGCTAGAGGCCACCGGCTGGTCTTTTGCTGCTATCGGCACTTTTGTTTGCCGGTCGGCTCATTTTATTGCCGGTCGGCATAGATTGTTGCCGGTCGGCACTGTTTTTTGCCGAAATAGCATTTTTGGGCAGCCGACCACTGTTCATCCACTTTATGGAGATA